GGAGGATGGGGCAGACAGAACAGAGCACTTGTTTCTTGACTCTTGGGGTTTACTGGCAATAGTCCATATGCTAAGTGCATCTTTGGTTGAAACAGGTCCAGGGCATGCCCAATGAGAAGGGTCCCAGAGTCCTCTAAGAACCATAGGCTCTCAGACTTTGAGGGCTCCTCAAAGACCACTTGGTCCAATCCTCCTGAGTAATCATCCTCCACACAAAATCTCCAAAAAGAGGTCACCCTGTCTCTTCTTGCCAACCTCCACTTATAAAGAACATAACCACCTCCTGAAGCAGTTCATTTTGGACAATTCTGGAAAGTTTTTTTCTTATATGGAGCCTAAATCTACCTCTCTGTAACTTCCACCCACACATATGTGTGCACGTCATATACCAACTATTAGAATGTAATCTACCTGAAGGCAAGAACTGTGACATTTAAAATTTTATATCCCTCACTGAGAACACAGTGCCTGAAATTTAGCAGGTGCTTAATAACTGTTGAATAAATGGAACCAAGTAGAATTGGGCAGCTAGGTAGCTCAGTGGATAGTGTGCTAGGCCTGGGGTTAGGAAGACTCCTCTTCACAACTTCAAAACCAGCTTCAGACACCTACTAGCTGTGTGACCCTGGACAAGTCACTTAACCCTATTTGCCTCAGTTTCCTCATCTGTAAAATGAGGTGGAGAAGGAAATGGCCAACCACTCCAGTATCTTTGCCAAGAAAAGCCCAAATGGGGTCATGAAAAGTTGCACATGACTGAAATGACTGAACAACAACAATAATTTGCATCACATACTTGCACAATATTTTGTCCCAATTCTGTTCTCTGGAGTTAGAAACTATGTCTAATTCCTCTTTTAGATGGCAAGCCTTCCACTATTTGTAGATAGCTATTGTCTGCCACCCCACCCTCATCCCCCTTCTTGGTTTCTGCTTTCAGGGTAAGCATCCTTAGTTCTTTCCATTGATCTCACGTGGCAGGGTTGAGTCCTGTTACAATTGAACCGAATTGAAATCAACAAACATTTATTAAATATTGACTACATGCTATGTACTCTACTGGGGGTAAGAGATAAAAGGATATGTGAAGTTCATCTTAGGAGTCAGCATGGGTTAGTAGTGCTGGGTTTGGATTTGAGGGCTTGGGCTTTGTCACATCAAGTCAAGAAATATTTATTAAGCACCTACTGCGTACCAAGCACTATACTAAATACTAGGGATACAAAGAAAGGGGGAAAACCCAGTCCCTCTGGTCAAGGATCTCACATTGTAATGGGGGCTAACAACGATGTACAACTTATATGCACACACACATACACACACATGTTCAGGATAAATTGGAAATAATAAAGAGAGGAAAGGTACTAGCATTAAGCGAGACTGGGAAAGGCTTCTCATGGAAGGTTGGCTTTTAGCTGAGATTTGAAGGAGCAATAGAAGTGTGGCTTTCCTGTCACATGATGGATGTGGGACCTTAGGCAAATCACGTGGTTTTTTGGGCCTCAGAGTAGCCCCACCAGAAAAAAGGAAGGAGTTGACAAAGTACTCTCTAAGAGCCCCTCTAACTCTTAATCTATGGTTTTATGCAGTCCCCTTCCTCAGGGAACATAATTTTGAGTAGCAAGTGGGTAAGAAATAACATGACTATTCATTGTTCATTTCATCCATGTGTGGTTTGACATATGGGGTATGCTGGAACCAGCTTGTATTGGCTCATGAGAGCCTAACTGTTTAAATTTTCAGTGAGCACTTATACCTGCAAAATTGACAAACGCTATAAATCAGGGCTTGATGTGTTGTTTTGTTGATTTCTGAACTTCAGGAAGTGATGGAGAAAATATTAATAATGCAGATGAAACTTCAAAGTGTGCCCTGGGTTTTCAGAAAGCTAGGAATTAAATGTCTACTAGCACACCACTGTTTGTAAATGATCTTCATAGATAGTGGCTGTAGTCACTGCCCTGTATGTTGAATACTACAGATGTTACTGCTGGCTCCTTTAAGAGCTGGGAGTGGGGTTAGGATGCTCAATTCTAAAGAAATGAGATGATCTTACATGTGGGGATAATGAGAGGATGTTTGCAAAGAGCTTGGTAAATCCTAAAGCCTACATAAATTCTGACTGCTATCATCAGCCCAAAGTTATTGTTTTAGTACTTAATACAGTTATTATTAGCTAATAATATTAATTTCTTTTAAGGTCAGCACGTTCACTTTCATCCTGGTGGAGGATTCCCCATGGAGAAACTCCATCCACTGACACAGATTTCCTCTGTAACTCATGATCTTAGAACAAGAGTCCTTGACTTTTTTTCAGTCACCATTTCCTTTAGTTTTCAGTAAAAGTTCCCATATCAGAGGGAAGGGATCCAGAGTTTTTTCTGCTACTTGGAGGAGCATCACCCTTGCACTCCCTTTTCTTTGAGCTGGGGATAGGGTGGGAAGCCCCTGAAGGTCAGCCCAAAATTCTGTTCCTAATGCAGAGTGGTAAGATTGCCATGGCTGGAAAAGCTACAATCCACTTCAAATTCCGTTTAATCCAACAAGTCCTGACACACACTGGCCATGTGACTCTGAGTTTTAATGTCTCCACACCCCAGGAAAACTCTCTCATACTACATGTTGCAGAAGAGTTGCTGATGGAGAGGAATTCCTTACACTGATGAAATCACAGATCTGCATGAATATAGATGTATATGTAAATACACACATATGTACATGAATCTATATGTGTTTGTACACATGTGAGTAAGTATACATGGAAGACAGTATGGTATAGTGGCTAAATACTGGACCTTGAAACCAGGAAGACCTAGTTCAAGCCCTCTCTTTGACATATAATTCTATAATGACTGTGTGACTCTAAGCAAGTCATTTCATCTCTCAGTATTCTAGGCAACTCTCTAATACTATAAGTTGCCAAGAGGTGCCAACCTGTGCTGGTAGAAAGGGGTGGTGGTGTGCTTTTTATACCAGTGTACCATTGAAATCACAGGTCTACTCCCTTACCCTATCTAATGTAAATCTGAACTTCCTTGCTCCTCTATCATGCCCCCAGTAAACTTATCATTGGGAAATATTATCATCTTGCAAGATCCAGTCACACCCCATCATTACCTTCTGCCCCTCTGATTGGAGAATGGAACTGTAAAGTCCTCCATCAAAGGAGATGGAAGTGGATTAACATCTCCTCAGACATCTCATTTTCCACCTAGTTCACTCATTTTGGATTTCTTTGATTTTCTGACAGCAATAATTTTGGACTTCTTTAGCTTTCCCACCATGCTCCTGCAACTCCACCCCACCCCCAGCTTTTCAGTTTTCTTTGTGTACTGTCTTGCCTTTTTAGACTGTAAGCTTCTTGAGGGCAGGGCCCATATTTCTTGTTCATATTTGTATCCTCAGCATTTAGCCCAGTGCCTAGCATATAGTAGGCACTTAATAAATGCTTATTGACTATTGATTATTGACTAATGTTATATTTACATTACATATATATATACACAGTAAAACTTAAGTGACTTTAATCCAATTATATACTTAAAGATAGTTCAGAGCAAACTTTAAGAAACAGAATAAAAGAAACAAACAAAAAACCCTCTCAACATGCCTAGGTGTTTTTTCTCCTTCCATTATCCCTGCCCTTCTCTTAGGAGAGAGAATCTTGGCTCCTTTTATGAAGCTGCACAACCATGTCAGAATTTTCTCTTACCCATGTTAAATGGGTAAGAATGTCTGAGGGGGAAGCGAGCTCAGACAACATCTAAGGTCCATAGAAATGATTTGTCTAAGGTCATTCAGTCAGAACCAGGAATTCTACCAGAGTAGAATTTTCAAATATTTCTTGATTCAGGTTTCTTTATTCAGACTGACTTCTACCTGACAGACCTACCCTACCAGGGTAGGATCTAGGTTTCCCGATTCCCAGTCAGGTCCTCTTTCTACGATGATGAATTCCTTCCCAATTATCCAGTCCTGCTCAGGGTCAAAGCCCTGACCAAATGGACTGACCTTTCCTATTCTCTTGATCTCTTAGCTATTAGACAAAATAAATAATCAAAGATAGGAAAGAAACTGCAGCTTTCCCATGTTTATAGTTTTCACTTTCTAATCTAAGACTTTTCTTTCTTTCTTTTCCCCATGAGGAAGCTTCACATGGCCTCTTCATCAGGAAAGGGCAAGGTTCCCATGCCTCTTTTTTTTCCAATCAGAAGGAGGTATTATTCCATTCTTCTCTCTAGGAGATATTCTCCAGTCGGTAGAAGGCATTTATCTACTTTACTCTCTAGGAGAGTATAACATCTTTCCTTCTTTTGCTCAGGCCAAGACCTATCTGGTTACCTTACATTTCTGTACTATAACTAGAACTGCTTAACAGCTTTGATTAGCCGATTTTCCTTAGCAACATCTTAGCAACTGACTTCTTTACAAAGGGTTCCAGAAAGCTCAGAACGAGCACATCCCTAACAACAGAAGGAAACATTTTCAAAAGAAAATAAATAGCCAGTGAATTAAAGAGGAAATAAACAGATTTCATCACACTCCACTTTTAGAAGTTGGCAGGGTGGACCTGTCCTAGAGGGGAAACTTGCATTCACTCAGAGCCACATGGCAGGGATTGGATCTCCATTTTTTCCCATTGGCAGTGAAAGGGACTACTCCTAACTTAGGCCTTCTCCCTCTTCTCTCTTCAACTTGGAGTCTAACAGAGAAGGGGAAAACAACAACAACCATAAACATTTCACTGAATTTTGTTAGATTAACTCTCTATGGGGTGTTAAAGATCATTTAGTTCAATACCAGCATTTTACAAATGAAAAAGCTACATACAGCTCAGAGAGATTACATGATTTGTCCAAAGACACACAGCCTGTTAATGACAGAGTTGAGATTGCCACCCAAGTTACCTGTCTCCGAGTCTGGTCCTCTTTCCTCTATCTCAGAAAACACCAGTAGGCCCAGAAACACTGACCAGATGCACTAATGATCCAAGGACTTACCCTCTGCTCCTGTGTGGCCACAAAAGTCTGGAATCCTGGTGCCACACCAAAGCCCAGCTCCTGGACAAAGGGTGGCTCAGACTGACTGTGAATCTGAACTTTCACTCCAGCTTCAAAAGTTGTTTCCTCTGAAAGAAGAAACAGGAAAGGCAGAGTAGCAATTGATTAGCAGCAATTTTCCTCATGAAATCATGGGGTCAAACAGTCTGAAGGGACTCCCACCCCACCTCACTCATTTAGTCTATTTTTGTGCCTCGGTTTCCAAATCCATACTATGGAAATAACTTTGCAGCCTATGAGTCACTCATTAATCTCCATTTAGAACCCACTGGATAGCCTTCAGGGAATTAATTGCAAAGCTCCTTTAATGACCATAATCTTCTCTTAGAAATAAACATCATTTTTTTTAATGCCAGCATTCTACAGGTCTTGCTATATATAAATGGAAGGCATCAATCTCTGAAAAATTGGAAATGAATATTATACAGGAGGTAACAAGAGGTCCATTGAGGAGGTGTGAAGAGACTACAATGTACACTCAACAAGAAATTCCAAAGAAGAAAAGGAGCAAAAGTTGTCATCAAGAAAACGTATGCTAGGAAGAGAATGCATGAAAAAGAGGTAAGATGGGTTGGTCATGTGGCAAGGGTGGGAAATGCCAGGTGGGCATCCTCAGTCTGGGAATCAATAAACAATTAAGTGGTTACTCTATGCTAAGTGTAGGGGACACAGAGAAAGACAAAGGACAGCTCCCACAGTCTAATGGGATAGTCAACATGTAAATAACTATGTATAAACAAACCATACACAGGAAAAATTGGGAACAATCAATAGAGGAAAGGCATAAGAGTTAAGGGAGATTAGGAGAGCCTTTCTATAAATGATGAAGTTTTAGTTGGGCCTTGAAGGGGCAGAGAAGAGGAAGGAGAGCATTGCAGGTATGGGGCAATAGAGAAATGTTCAGAGTCCAGATGACAAGGTATGGGCCCTGGGGGAAACCCCCCCCAACTCTCCTAGAGTTTTCTCCTTTTCCTGCATGGTGAAGTCTTTGGCATTTGCCTCAGGCATCATCCCAGTAATCCTTTCAACTGGCCTTTCATTGTGGCTACTTTCATTGTGGCTATGCCCAGTCTCCCAATTCTGTTACCTCTGACCTAGCCCAACTTTTATTGTCTTATTACCTCCCGATGGCCCCAGCTACTTCCTCCCCTTGATCCTATCTAGACCCCTTTCTACCTCCCAGTCACTCCTATCAATATCCTCCCCAGACCCCTTCTCCCAGATCCATCCTTCAGTCACCCCAAACTACTGGGCTACTCCTAGATCTCTCCCACAGTCTTTCAGTATACAAGATCCGTCTTATCTCCACTGAGGTGCTCAGATTCTTTAAGAGTCTAGCCAAGGGCTCAGATTCTTAAAATCTAGCTAATGGCTGAGATTCACTCTAGCCCATTTGTCAACATGAGCATTACAAATGTTCAGATTTGTTAAGAGTCTGGCCAATATGGCGGGTCTTTAATAAACCTTGTCTTTGCTGAAAGCAGGCTTGGATTCATTCAGGCAGGACCCATGTGCTGCTATTTTGGGGTCCTAGCACCCCTAAACTTCAACACAGAGATAGTCATGTTGTTTAAGGAAGAGAAAGGAGGCCAGTGTTACTGGATCTCAGTGTATTTCTGTGTATATGGTGGGTGTTGCAATGTTTTAGAAGACTGGAAAGACATAGGTGGACAATTTATGAGGAGTTTTGAACTACAAACAGAGGATTTTATATTGACTCATCTTTTATAACAGACTCACCATGGTTCACATAACTAATTAGTTTCAAAGCAAGAATAGTAAGTTATATTAATTGTAGCAATATGCTAATTCTGGATCTCACATTGGTGTGGTGCTTTATAGTTTGCAAAAAGACGTCCCTCTATGTTATCTTACAGAATCTTCACAATGACCTTGGGAGGTAGGGAAAGTAACATACCCATTTTAAATATGGGGAAGCTGAGGCCAAGAGAAACTAAGTGACCTAGAAAATGCTTAATGGTCTGCCTTGCCACCCACTCACTCATGCCATAAAGAAGAATGATGGAAGGATAATAGAATCTTCAGGGAAAATAGCAGGGTGTGAGACAGGTAGGTGTAGGTGGTCTATTAATGGGAGAGCTTTTGTTTAGTATTCTCCACCCCCCCCACCCCTACCCAGGGTCAATGGCCTTTAAGAGGAAGTATTGGGAGAATATCAGCTGGCTCATTGTGCAAGGCAGGGC